ACAGCCTCTCATCCCAGAGTGCATTAAAAACAGTCACGGTTAGCTGCCTCTCCACTCTTTCCTCTACCTACCAGCCTTGTCTAAACTCATCTTCTTACCCACAAACCCTGTGCAAAGTCAGAGCTGGCGATCCCATGAGAATTGTGGAGTTCTGGTCTGCACAGCAGGACACAGCAGTCTACCAGCACTACCAGCACCCTTCCATCAAACAGTAAGCAGGCCACAGCTGCCCTCGTAAAGCACCACAAACCCACTCAGGCTGAAGTAGCCGGTTAGTGTCTGAGATGACCCAAAGATAAGTCATCCCCAGTCATGACCCCAGAGTTCCCCTGGAGCAGCACCTGGAGCAGCAGTGGCCAGCCTTTTTGGCACCAGGCACCAGTTTCATGTAAGAAAATTTTTCATGGTGGGGGGGGGTTTCAGGATGATTCAAGCACATTACACTGATTGCCCATTCTATTTCTGTTATTGTTACACTGTAATACATAATGAAATAATGATATAACTTACCATCACGCAGAATCAGTGAGCAATGGGGAGCAGCTACAAATACAGACGAAGCTTCGCTGGCTCGCCTGCCACTCACCTCCCGTTGTGTGGCCTAGTTCCTAACAGGCCATGAACTGGTACCAGTCCGTGGCCCAAGGGCTGGGGACCACAGCCCTGGGAGTCCCCAGAGCAGCAGTGCATGGACTTTTTCCAGCTGTGCAGCAGGGCAGCCCCACCCCCACCTGCAGTTCTGGAAACAACTGGAGCACCTGCCGGGGACTGACAAGTACTTTGTGCACTGGTAATACGTACCTCAACATACACCTCTAAGGATGGGGAACCGTATGACAACTGGATTTGACAAGGAATATAACATGCACCTCTGTACCCTCAGAAGAAAGTGCCAAGTGTTTACAAACCTATAATTAAGTATCTACCATCTGTATCAGTGGTTCTCAACCTGGGGGTCGCAACCCACGGAACTGATTAAAGGGCCGCGGCATTAGGAAGGTTGAGAACCACGGATCTAGACGGATAGCAACATACACTTCCAAGTTTGTGTGTCTCAGTGGATACATGGCTGGGGATGAGAACGAGGACAGATGAGTAACACAGGAAGAGGGAGGGCGGAGGGTGGGGAAGAGTGGGAAATGGGCGAGAGACAGAAAGACACACGGAGACAGAGAGAAACAGGTGTCAGAAAAAGACTTGAGAAGAAGGAAAGACAGAGACAGCCATTGAGATGGACACAAAGAGAAAAACAAACAGGTGACTACAGAGAGACTGAGAGAGAGAGAGAGATGGAAACAGACAAAGACCAAGTGACAGAGACAGAGAAACAGGAGAGGAGTTGGGAAGGAGAAAAGATAGGGAGGGGGAAGGGAAGAAGGGAGGAGACGCAGAGTACAGACTGACCGAAACAGACAGCAAGAGACAGCGACTCACAGGTGCACCCCAGTGGGCTGAGCTCCAGGTAACAAGAAGAAAAACATCAGCTACTATGACGAGTCGTAAGGCGAAGGCCAGCGTAGCCCTTTATCCTCTTCTTCCCAGAGCTGCCTTACAGATCTTCAGCACTTGCCAGGAAGCCATTGAATTCCATTTTTTCTGCATCAACCACTCTTTGTTTTGGGAGTGGTAGCTCTCTGGGCTCCCTGTGGCTAATTCTCCCTTCCTGCTGTCTCCAGCTCCTGGGAGAGCACTGTTTACTGTGACCCTCCTAGGTGTCAGCACAGGAGATACAGTGGGACCAGGGAGCACAGGATCTAACACGGTGGTTCTCATCGTTCCTAATGCCGCGGCCCTTTAATACAGTTCCCGCGGGTCGCGACCCACAGGTTGAGAACCGCAGGTCTAACAGCTCTCCCTCCTTATATTAAGCCTTCTCTAGCATAAGAGAAGCAGTAGTTGTTCAATGAATACTTGTTAATAATAGTATCTCCTGGAAATATCTAAAAGGGCTCCTAACTATAATTTCATTAGTATTAATTTCATTGAATTCCATAAAATTTGTTGAGTGCCTGCCTTGCTGAACCTTAATGTTACCATGTTGCCTAATTTACTTTGGAGTATTAAGCACACAGAGTGGGATACTTAGGTCAAGCTTCCACCTTGCTACCACCATGCACTTCAGTCAAGATTGCACTGTCTAAAAAAAAAAAAATTACACTCTCCAGTGGTGGTCAGCTGGCCGTCATTTTGTCTGTCAGCAATGAGTGCTTTGCTTATTCTTGGTTAAAACAGTGGCTGATTGACTAGCAATGGTGAATATCAAAAAAGGGGCCATCATGAGTGAAATTAAAGGCATTCAAGATACATAGATTAGCTCAATATATCAGCCAAACGCCCCATCCTGCCACGAATTTGTGAGACAGCCAGTGAGTCTGGTATTCTCCTTACAGAGTCATGCCCTAGGCTAAAACCCCTCCTTGGTCCTGAGCCAATATGAATTCTGGAAGCTTCTGTCTCCCTGATGATGATTCTTACCCATTTCAAAATACTAGGGGGATACTTAATAGAATCAGAGCTCCTTATAGAAGTGACTAATTCCATAGTTGGGGAAGGGAGGTACAAGATAAACCAGGAATATCTTGTTATGCTCAAAATTATGCTTAAAACAATGAGAAGCAAATCAAAAAGACACAGGAGGGCTGACACGTCCAGGAACACTGAGCAGGCATACATTTCCCTGTTTCTCTCACTAAGCACTATTAAAAATGCTCGACATTATATACGAAACAAGCATAAAACAATCCTGAGAGGTGGGCAGAGGACCAGCTGGAGACCCTGAAACTCCAAGGAATGACACAGTGATGAATCTCCTGTTTTCTAATCACCCCACATATCTGATTGAGTGCTACAGAAGAGTCAGGAAAGCCAACAGAACAGAAAAAGGAGCCCCAAACAAGCTCTGCTCTCTCTAGCCAAAAGCCCAGAAAAAGAGCAGCCTCGTAAGACAGAAAACTCTCAGTAACAACTGCTTTACTCCAGCTGACCGAATTACATCTCCAACTCCATCCACACAAGCAAAGGCCAAATGGGAAACCCTGGCCAGGCAGCAGTGAGTTGCTCCAACCCCACTGGGGAGGAGGAATCAGGGAAGGCTGAGTAGGGAGCCAGCACTTTCATTCCTGCCGTGCAGCAGTAAGGACCTGCCCCCGTCAGCATCCCTGGAGACAATGTAGGAAGACAAGACTTCCACCACCAGCTGGTATTAGTGAGGAATGCTTCTTTCTTCCTGTGTCAGAGTGTACAGAAAGCCAGGTAACACAGAAGGTATAAATAAAACCCAGACTCTCTTAACATAATAGCTCTAATCTCTAGGTTTAAAACAAGTATAATTTGTCACACTTGTTTGACAATAATCTTGTCAAACAAGAATAATTTGTCTGATTACACAATAATCAGAAAAATCTCAAACTATACAGATGAAAAAAAAATCTCACTGAGATTATAGAGATTTTAGAATAGACTGAGCGTACCTGCTCAGGCCTGAAATTTTAGCACTTTGGAAGGCTGAAGTAGGAGGATCACTTGTTACTGGAGCAGAAACAAAAGTGTATTTACCTCTGGGGATGGGCTTGGAAGGTGCACAGGGACGGTGACACTGAACGTGAGCTTTACAGGGCAGGGCAGGATTTCACCAGGTACAGGCAGCAGAGTAAGGGTAATCCTGACAGATTCTGGGTTAGACAGAGGGCTCAGGGCATGTGTGGGAAACAGTAAATATCCCGGAGAGGAGGAAGGGCAGGGGGAGAGCAGAGTGGGGCTGGAAACGGACACCTGGACGGAGCTGTACAGTGGGACAGTCTTGAACATCACTTGAACGAGCTCCGCTGTGTTCTGTGCACACCAGGAGAATCACTGGAGATTTCTGGGTGATGCCACAGGATGGGTGTCAGAAAGGCTGCATGGGCAGTTGCTGAAGTTAATCTAGTAATTATCCCTCCCTGTGGGAGACTCTTAATGAGAGGCCAAAGAATACCATCCTCAGCATGCCTCCTCTGTTCTCAGTACATCCCACCCAAAGGGTGATAATCCAATATTTAGGTAAAGGTAACGGTGGCTGGGCCATGGTACACACAGGCACACACACAGACCAGAGTGGTTTTTAGGCGTGGAGCGGGGATGAGAACAGGACATCTGGCAGGCACCCTTCTGTCCCTGAAGAAGAGTGGTCAAAGAGTTTGGGGAGAAGCTGACTAGCACGGCAATCAGAGCTGAGAGCTGGCAAGTGTCCTGGAGGCTCCTGCTGTACCAAGAATTGACCCTGTTAACTGGATCACTGGATCACAGGGTCCCAGGCCAGCGCCAGGGTGCTGTGCAGAGCAGGCAAAGCAGACAGGAGCTACCGATATTTTAATAACCAGGCCCTGTGCTTTCCAGCTAGGCATGAGGGTTTCTCTCTGCCAACTGTCTATCCTCCTTAACTTGATTGGCTACGAAGGAGGATGCCCAGCAAAGCCCCCTTGAAAGTAAAGCTTCCTCCCCACACTAGGTGGCACTGTCTGTACTCTACACTGTACAGTCAAGGGGTCCCACGTGGCCTACACACAGACCGGACTTAAAAATCAAAACAGTGGATGGGTCATTACATTTCTCTCTTGTTCCTTTAATTGTTACATACAGGGTGGACATAAAGTTCACCTGTGATTTAAAATAGTTTAGCATAGTGAACTGCACACGAACTTTATATCCATCTGTATGTAACAAAAAGAGAGGAAAACTTATACTTCACTTTTCTACAGGACACATAATCAAAGCATGGCTCTTCTGGAGTTTACCTTTTTTCATCTTTGTCAAGATTCAGCCTTCTCCCATGTGTAGCAAGAAATATAAAGAACGTGTTTTCACAGGCTATTTTCCTTTAATACATTAAAACCTTTAACTTTTCAATTTACTAGAAAGTTATTTGAAGATGTGGCTGAAATTTAAATCAACAAGACAAAAAAGAGTGTTTCCATGGGAACAAGGGAAACATTCATGTGGTGTGGGGGGGGGGGCTGACGTACCTCCGAGGCGATGGAGGTGAAGCTGCTGCTGAAATGCACGTGCTTGTGGATCTCGCTGCCATTGGCTGTGAGCAGCCAGTCCCCAAAGGCCTGGTTTTCACCAGCTGACTGGTTGCCATGGCTCTGATTAGGCAGGAGCTCTGCCAGGTCCCAGCGGTACGATGGCGTGGCCCCAATCAGAGTAATGAGGATCGCCTCCGTGGCCACATAGAGCTGAAAGATCAAACACATAACCCAACTGAAGACATCTGCCATGAATGTTGAAGACTCACATAGTAGGTCTACAAACCTTGAAAGACGAGCTTCTTGCTTTTGTGTTTTACCCTTTCACAGGCTTTTTCTTCTTGGAGACCTAATGCTAACAACCCTGGGTGTATATGATTTGTGGGGGAGGGGAGGAGACATTATTGCTCTGATTTAAAAGACTGAAACTAGCTACTTCCTTGTCAACCCAGTATCTTCAGCTCAGATAAGCATTCCCCAGGGGGCTAGGAGTACCTTGACCTTGGATTCATGATCTAAATGAGAGAATTTTTGTAGCATAGTTAAATGTCACAGAAAACTATGTAATATTGCTTTATTAAAGCAGGTAAGAATTATACATACTTGAGTAGGTACTATTTTATTTATTTATTTATTTTTTGAGACAGAGTCTTACTATGTCACCCTTGGTAAAGTGCTGTGGCATCACAGCTCACAGCAACCTCAAACTCCTGGGCTCAAGCGATTTTCTTGCCTCAGCCTCCCAAGTAGCTGGGACTACAGGTGCCTGTCACAACACCCAGTTATTTTTTGGTTGCAGTTGTCATTGTTGTTTGGCAGGCCCAGGCTGGATTCAAACCCACCAGCCTCGGTGTATATGGCTGGCACCCTAACCACTGGGCTATAGGCACCAAGCTGAATAGGTACTATTTTAAAATATGATTATATAATGGGTAAGATTCAAAGAAGTTCCAAATCTCAGGTATACATATTCATTTCATAACCTTTAGCTATATTTAAACTTGGTTTAATGTAACCATAGTTGTTCTCCCCTCCAAAAACATCTCACCCATTCATTCATTCAAGAAGTATTGATAGGACACCTACGCCATTTGTTCCTGATTGTTCTGGGCTTTACAGATGCTCAGAGCTGGGTTTATAAGCTGTCAGGGCAGCCTTGTTATGCTATGGATTTCCGTTTATAGTGGCTCCCATTATTGCATGACTATTTCAAGTTTAAGCAAACACATAAGTAGTCTGTTCCAGAGTGAGATAATCTCACTTAAGAAACTATCCCTACTAACTTTGAACTTGTCTTAAAATACCTTTAAACAGAATTAAGTGTTTAAAGACTACAAAGTATATGATTTCTCTACAGCACAGTGACAGGACCCCTGGATGGATGAGCTGACTGGGCCACCAAAAGGTGGGGAGACTCGCCAACAATTTTACCTGCAGTGGGCAGAGAGCTCCCAGCCCAGGGAATTCATATCATTCTGTAGGGCTACATTCAGCTGTTCAGGGGAGAAGCCAAAGAGCCAAAGGCTATGGAATCTCTGTCAGAGATCACAGCGTGTGTTAGTGCAGAAAGCTGATATAAAACCCAACCCGAGATTTTTGCACCTAGGGCAAGGCTGAGAGGATCTGAGACTGTCCCAGTCTATTTTGAGTCAGTTGATAATAGACCTCTCTGGAGAGGTGCAAAGCTACCATAGACCAGTATGTCTGATTTATTACAAAATGCAAAGGAAAACATGTTCCCAGACTTAAATGCTTCCTGGCCCCTATTTGCATACTATTATGGAAGTTTCAGAATAGGAGGCAATCAGCATATAAAAATAAAATCCTGAATAATTACAGGAACAGATCAGTTACACATTGCAGCAGCTATAATCACAAAGCCACTTTCACCCACTTAGTAACTGCCCTGTTGATTAGAATCAGCTGAAATTTAATTAACGGGTATAAAGAAATGAAAAACACAGGGCAAGGAAACTCAGGAGATGACTCAAAACAGTTATAATGATGCCTGGCCTTCAAATCAGATCAAGGAAACCCACCCTGTTTTCTCTCTAAATGGCTCTTTTCTACCTTTGTTCGGACCACTTTACCAGGAAGGCGCTTTCTCCTGCTGTGAATGTTTTAGCTTTTCCCATCCTTCCAGAGGCAATTCAGACATCACCTCCTCCATGAAGCCTTCCCTCCAGTCTTGCCTTCCTCACCAACCCCTCCATGAGCCCCCTCCTGCTTTTTCTGTTTCATCTAGAATTTTTTTTTTTTTTTGAGGCAGAGTCATCCTGAGTAGAGTGCCATGGTATCGTCATAGCTCACAGTGACCTCAAACCCTTGGGCTCAAGTGATTCTCCTGCCTCAGTCACCCAAGTACCTGGGACTAACTGGCACCTCCACAAGGCCCTCTACTATTTTTAGTACAGACATGATCTCTCTCTTGCTTGGGCTAGTCATCAACTCCTGAGCTCAAGTAATCCACCGGCCTCCGCCTCCCAGAGTGCTAGGATTATAGGTACGCGCCACCACAATTGACTCATCTAGACTTTTTTAAAGCACATTTCATTTTCTTCACTGCATTACATTTATGTATTTGCTTGCCTTATTTTTCCTATTGGAATATATTCTCCTTAAGGGCAGGATCCACATGTGATTCACCTTTGGACTTCCAAACCAAATATCCCAGGGCGTACACACTCCACAAGTGAATGATTAAGTGACCAGGACGGAATGCTAACAGGCACACCCTTCTACAATGCCAGCTACGCACCAGGCACAATTCAAAGTTCCTGGTGAACACACATCAACACATCCTATTTTTATCTGGATTGTTCTGGGATAAGTAACATTCTAGGTAAAAAAGGAAATATTCTAAAGGATGCTCTCATCTGAGGGAAGAGTCATCTTGCAGGCCACCGTTCTCTGTAGAAACGACAATTTGGAGGAAACAGCACAAGAACAAAGCAATGTCCACCCACACCCCCATTCAAATACAGGAGCAGTGAAAACTCCTCAGCAGTATCTATATTAACGAGGATTGACTAGTTTCATTCCAAGCAATATGCAAAATAAGCACTTTCCACCTTTCTCAATTCCTCTGCCCTCCTCTCACCTTCCACAATGTCTCCCTCCCCACGCTGTGCATATGCTAGTGTGGTCACACACACGTGTGCTCACACACGTGGTCTCACACATGCTCAAACCCACGTGCTCACAAACATGTGCTTTGACACACACGTGGTCACACACACATGCTCACACACATGGTCACACACACATGCCCTCACACACATGTTCACACACATGTGGTCACACACATATGCTCTCACACACACATGTCCTCACACACACGTGGTCACACACACACAAGCTCACACATCTACCCCCATAAATGTACTCACACGCATGCTCTTACATGCTCACACATACACACACACACGCTCACAGACACATGCCCTCTCACACACACACATGCTCTTACATGCTCACACATACTCACACACACACACACACACACACGCTCTTTCTCTCTCACACACACACACATATCCAAAGCCCTCGACAAAATGTATGTTCTGTTCCAGAACTTCATGTCACCAGAAAAGTCAGAAACCTGTGACACGTCTATGTAATACCAGCCTCAATAGAAGGGTGTCGGCCTTTTGGCCCCCTTTGATACCTATGGTCATGCTCAGTTTCGCGACCCACAGGGAGACAAAGGAGGCAGGCTGTAGTGACGCGGCCTGATAAACGCTAGGGACAGGTGTCATGAGGGAGGAGGCCAGAGAAGCCAGCTCACCCTCTGTGGGCAGGCCCTTCATGCCACCGCCACAGACATGGGCCATGTGGTCAGAGGGGGGAAGACAGTTCAGCACCTCACTAGCCCCGAGGAGGGAGCAGCTGCACACAGACCCTGGGGTGGTTCCCTTGGTCTCCATCTTTGGCCGTAACAATTTCAGATAGCTCTCACCCTGTTCCTTTCTCCCCGAAATAAAAATATTCCGTGGTTCTTCTCTGTGCTATTACTCTACCACTCCCATGTACACATTCACCCACAGGTTTCTGTCTAATGAAATCGCACCCATCAGCGGATGGGCCTTAAAGCCACAATGAGAAACCACCACCCACTCTCCCTCAGAGTGCGACTAACAACATCTCAAATAAATCATTATCTTCTCCTGCTCTTCCTCCAGGGAAGAACAAGTACCACAGATGGCTGGATTATTCTCCCCCTTTCAATGTAATTATAATTAGAAAAAATGACTAAAATGCACTAAGGGACTGCAATTTCAGAAGTTTCAAAAAGCGAAGGTTTCAAAAGTAATTTTATATTAACACCATTATGAGCTTTCATAGTGCTTCTCGGGAAACCAAAAAAGTCTCCTATAAATTATCTCATCACAATAGTTTGTGCTGTGAGGTCATGGCGAAGCATGATGTGTATTTTGTAAGCAGGAAAAATAAGATACAGAGCAACTAAGTGAATTGTCCGAAGTTATGTATAATTTTGACAGCAAAACCGGGACGAGAGTGGGAGCCACGGAACGTTTGGGCCAAAGATTTTCTCAAGGGAAACAAAGAGGGAACGATCAAAGGTGATTTTATGGTTAGTTTTTTATGCTTTTGGTACTCAGGTGTCTTACTGACTCAGCTGAAAGACGGGCAAGACCATAATCATGAAGGCAGGATTCTAATCCCAGTGCCAGCACACAGTGGGTACTCCATAAATATTTGTTGGCCGACTTATTATTTTTTTGTGTTTAAACACTCCCTGAAACTGGTGCCTCCAAGAAGTATCTCCTCCCCTTTCTAACCCACCCACATCAGGCCACCTGAATAGTCTCCCTGAAACCCCTCATGAAACTCTTCTGGTCAAAACATATTAATGGATAAATGAGAAGTTTCCTAGAATTCCAGATCTTCTATTCCAAGACCCGGTTGCTAACTAGTCCATGTTTAAGCTTTCTCTGCTAGTCTATTCAATTTCCCAAACATGATTTATTCCATCGTGTGGTGTGAAAATCATATGGAATCTGCATGCCTGAGTCTGAACTTCACTCTTTTAAAGCCTGAGCAAACCCAAACCTCCCTCAACTTCTTGTTTTCCTCCCACAAGACTAGATGCTACTGGTACATACTCATCTAAACCATTCACATCCAACTAACCTACCTGTAGTGTCAAATGGGATGTTTGCACCATCAGCAGTAAGTGGCACAGCGCT